CGGTTCTTCCAGACTCAGAGTCATTTGAGACCAAAATGAAAACTGGCTGAACACTAAGAGCAGGACCGCAGAAATTGGAAGCAGAATCCACGTGTATCGGAGCAAAGATCCGTGGCTGAGGTTTGGAAAGAAAACGGAGAAATGTTAATACGATGTGCATACGAGGGTGGGCTGAGCTTCCAGGGGATTAAAAACAATGAATGTTCTCTGTTTATTTAGACAGAATGACATTCGTGAAACGACTTTTTATCCACTCCCCAGACTTCAGCGGGAGATATTTTCTGTTTTGTGACTGAGCCTGGCTAAGTTCCCTCCTCTCTGGGGCACCGGTGCTGCCATCAGAACATATTTCACAAATATATTAACTGGTCAAGAATATCACAAACAGAAACGTGGTGGCCACTTCCTTTTTGAGATAAGAATTTCCGTCAGCTCAATCCATTCACAAGGTACCCAGCTTCCTACGGCAACTTTGCCAGCTCCAAAAAAACAACAAGATGAACCGCACAAAAGCAACGAGGCCAGGGAAGGAGGGAACAGGCTGATGCAGTGACAACCAGGCTATATTTGCAGTAATTAAAAAAAGTCTGGAAGGATGGATGAGAACAGGAAGGCTTACTTATGCCTTAATAAGAGAACATTAGTGTCCAAAGGGCCAGAGCAGACATGATTTATGTGCAATCTGCATGAACTGATTACTTGTAAAATACTCTGCAGTTCTGCAGATATAATAGCTGATATGCACAGAGGTTGCATATTTAACTGCTAAAAAGCAAACCGCCTGGCATCTGCTGGGGCAAAGCAGAAGCAGACAGGGAGGCCCCTAGGTACTGGGGAACAGGTAACCTAGTGAGATAAGTACTATCACTGCCAGAACAGAACTGGAAATAACCCAAAGGCTTACCAGTCACTCACTCGTCTTCCTCCCTACAAAGGACTGAGCATTTGGGGACCTCCAAGAAAAAAACCCTTCCTCAAAAGTCTTCCCATTCTTGCTATCCTATTAGGTAAATTCTAGCATTAGAGAGTCATTCCTTTGAGAACACCGTACCTCGGCATCGTCTTTGAAACCACAAATATCTCCCTGGGACAGGCAACAAACCAAGCTCCTGGTAGACATTAACACTTTAGTCTGATTTAATTTCTTCTCTCAAGGACAGGTTCCCGCACAGCATCAAAAAAGGAGGAGAGGGTTATCAAGATGAGTAAGATAGTCTCAGACAAATTTGGGGTTGCAGGGAGGCATGCCAGGAAGTATTAGAAAAACTCCCAATTCATAACTTTGAATTTAAGGTTTTAATCAGACTATCCAAACCTGAGGTCCAAGTTCACTCCAAAGGGCACTGTGCTTGTCTGTCTCACAGGACACAGTGAGACCCTGGGAAATCATCTATGTGATCAGACACTGTACCAGCCAGGTGCAAAACTGTAATATCAGTGAATCCTTGAGGTCTCAAATTTTAGGGCATACAACCCTGGTTAAGCAACTGCTTCTAAAGCACAGCTCTCTCTGGGAAGGGAATCATGGTGAAGCCGTTGCCAGCCACCAAAAGCTTAGCGTGAATTTGTTCCTCTTACTCGCTCGTGTTAGGGCCCTACCTTGCTCGCTAGTGGCACATTTGCTTTCCTCCTAGTTCCTTCCTGCATTCTTCCATCAACCCCACCCCTGTCAAAATAGGAAAGACTTTTACATCACTCCAAAAATGTCTGTTACAGTCCCTACTATGCTCAAACAAGTCACAAAATCTAGGTTACAAAAAGAAGGAAAACTGGGGCTTCCCTGGTGGCGCAGTGGTTGAGAGACCGCCTGCCGATGCAGGGGACACGGGTTCGTGCCCCGGTCCAGGAAGATCCCACATGCCACGGAGCGGCTGGGCCCGTGAGCCATGGCCGCTAAGCCTGCACGTCCGCGACGGGAGAGGCCACAAGGGTAAGAGGCCCGCGTACCGCAAAAAAAAAAAAAAGAAGGAAAACTAAGATATAATAGTGCCTTACATCTACATTTTGTAAACTTCACTGTTTCCAGTGCGAGGTTCCCAAACCCTGGTTGTATCAGAATCCCACAAGAAGCTGGTGCAGAGGCTGGATATGGGCCTTGGAGGGCAGTGAGAGGTGGAGGAGGAGGAGGAGTGAAGGGCATCTGCTGGATGCCGGCAGATGGGGCTGGCGTAGCTGCACGTCCCCCACACAGACATTCAGGGAGGGTCTCGGGGGTCAAGGTAGGGCAGAAGGTAAACGGTAAGTGTGATGGTTTTTTAATGTGGCCCCCAAATCCTTTGACACTCCTGCCATCGAGAGGTGGGGCCTATGTCACCTCCCCTGAATCCGGGCTCCATGACTGCTTGCTATAGAAAGTGTCAGATGATGCAGTGCCAGCTTCTGGACCTGAGCCTTAAGAAACTGGGAGCATCCACTGCCTGACTCTTGGGACACCTGCTCTTGGAACCCAGCCACCATGCCATGAGGAAGCTCAAGCAGTCCCGAAGAGAGGCCCATGTACGGAGGAATCCACAGCCGGCACCAACTTGCCAGCCATCGTGCCAGGGAGCTGCCTTGGAAGATGAGCCTCTGCCTCAGTCAAGCCACTGATACCACGTGGAGCAGAAATGAGCTGTTTCCACCAAGACCTGCCAAATCAGCAGATTCCTGAGCAAAATACACCACTGTTGCTGTTTTAGGCCTCTAAGTTTTGGCGTGATTCATCATATAACAGGTAAACTCTACATCAAGTTTGCTCCAAATGACCACAGCCAGCTGCCTCCTTGGCCAAGCCTGCAGTCAGGGGCCTGCTTCAGCCACTCATGCTGGGAGGACATCTGGGGAGTTTCCAGTTTGGGTCGATTCTAAAAAAAAGTGGCTGTAAACATTCACGTAGAAGTTCTGATGTGGACGTAAGTTTTCATTTCTCTAGGGCAATACCTAGGGGCGGGATCGCTGGGTTACACGGTAAGTACAGGATCCTGTTAATGAATAATACACTCAGGGTGGCCAGATGCTGACCCGTGCGAGGCACGGTGGAAGGTGAGACCCGCTGAGATTCCACGGATTTAGCTCGGCCACCCCTGCTCACCCTGGGGCATCAGCTCACTGGGAGGGAATCATGACCAGCAGTGCTATTCATGGCTACTTCTCCTTTCGTTATTGTCTGTTTTTGTAAAGGACACTTGCTAAAAATCACCTGTGTGTGATGACATTTTTTTCAGTACTT